GCCAGTGCTGTGGCGCTGCAATCTTTGGCTATGTCTTGGGCTACTCAAATATTTTACGTTTTTGATGCTAAATTAACTTCTGAAGTATAATTTTTTATTGTTTTTATATTTTTCAATATATTTATTTTGTTTGTACAAAATAAAAAAATAATTTTTAACGATACAATAGTCGTCGTTAGGCTTAACATCGACAAAAATTCAACGCGAAGCGACACGCAACGGAGAAAAATTTCAACACGGGATAAATTAATATATTTTTTCGTACATAATTGGTCATCTGAAAAATAAGTTATCCGAACAACCCCAGTCTCCAATTGATTTGGATAAACGACGCTCTACTGTAATTTTATATTTTCATTGATGGGAAAAAAATCAGTTTTAATATATCTGCTCATAGATTAATTATCATGATATCACAGAAAGCAATAATTTCCTAATTTTGAATATTTTTAGCATATCACGAAATGTGCTATTCAGAAGTCACAATTTGTTTATTTCTTAATATAGGTTGAGAAGTAAAAACTTCTCAACCTATCCAAAATTTTATCCAAAATGCTTGGGACCAGAAATGTTTCAGATTTGGAATACAGTAAACCCCTGCTAACTCAGATTTCCATTAACTTGAACTTTGTATAATACAGACAAATTTTTTCAAAAAAAATGTAGAGTTAGTAATTTTGAAACTGTGTCGTTATTTGTTTCTTTTTTTAACACTATGTAGTGCAACTACTTGACCATTTGGTATTTTTCATCTTAATTTTTATTCTGTTCAGTTGATGTTAAAAAAAGAAAATATAGAGTTTGATTCTGATGAAACCGTGTTGCTGTTATTAAGCTGTTTCTTTGCAGACACACTAAGGTGACATATATCAACACTTGGCAACTTATTGACTATTTATTCAGTTGGGACGCCTTTTACATTACGTTTCGGGCATTGGCCCCTCTTCAGCCAACTAGACATAAAAAATAAAACATGAGAAAATTTGTACAAACATACGCGAGTAGATAAACTGTTTTTTTAAAAAATTTTTTTAAAAACATACCATAAAACACAAACCACTATTGTACATATGTCGTACAGAATGGACAATTTCATATTTCATATACAACTTGGAGAACAAACAAGGTCGACGATAATCATTTTTTGCTACTGGTTTTCGAATATGGTATTCTTATACTTTATGCAAAAAATTCAAATAAGTAAATTTAAAAATTACAACATATTTTAACAATATTTGCTTTACCTGTAGCCAGTATTCGTATATTGCACCTAAACTCATACAATAACTGTTGACACTCTTTTTCCGAACAAGTTTCACTGAGTCATCTTAGTGATATTATTNTATGTTGTAATTGTCAATCTATTTATTTGAATTTTGTGTAAATTATAAGAAAGCCATATTTAAAAGCCCAGTAGTCAAGCTGCTATCTACGACCCTGTTTGTTCTCCAATGATTATCGTCGACCTTGTTTGTTATCCAAGTTGTATATGAAATATGAAATTGTCCATCCTGTTCGACATCTGTACAATAGTGGTTTGTGTTTTATGGTATGTTTTTAAAAAATTTTTTTAAAAAAACAGTTTATCTACTCGCGTATTTTTGTACAAATTTTCTTATGTTTTATTTTTTATGTCTAGTTGGCTGAAGAGGGGCCAATGCCCGAAACGCATAATGTAAAAGGCGTCCCAACTGAATAAATAGTCAATAAGTTGCCAAGTGTTGATATATGTCACCTTAGTGTGTCTGCAAAGAAACGAAAATATAGAGTATTTATATTGACATTTCTTGACATTAAAAAAATTATAATTAACAAGTATTTTCGATATCCAGAAGTCTTTGTGATACAAAAAAAATGACTACCTTTGATTATAATCAAAGGTTTTAGCAAGTCATTTTTATATAATTTCCAATATCCTTTATAAGAAGCTGTTGAATTTACTTCTTTGCAATACTACGCATTATATTACTGTAGTCAGCAAGTTACTAGAGACTGTATATTGCTGTATACTGTACTACCATGAAATTTTTTGAGCTCTTTCCCTGTATTAATAAATTCAACAGTATAACCTATTAAAGCTCAGTAAAACTTCTGTATAGAGCTAATCATAATAAATTACTATACTGCATATCCACCACCTCATTTTTCAAGTCATTGGAGAAAACACTCATCTAACTTGGAATTTTGTAAACTCAGGCCTTTACTCCCTTTTAGTCCAAGTTAGTGGGGATTTAGTATATTTCTATATTTGCATCTATAAAATTAGACAGCTTTGGGATAATTGATTTAACTTTTGTTTGTCATTTATTTAGGAAATTTTATTAATTTTTGATAAAACAAAAAATTTTTTACATTCCTATATGAATGATTTTTTAAATGTGCCTATTGTAAAAGTTTGAAAATATTTTAAAAAGATATTCATGTAGAGATGTTCAAAAGAATGCCTATCTATTTAAATTTTGAATATATCTGTTAAACATTTAAACATATGTTAAAAATGGGATTGAACTACACTAGAAAAATACAAAAAAAACATGTATATATATATTATTTTCTATTTGTGACACATCATGTCAACACTCAAAAATCTTTCAGATTTTTGGAATTTTGGTTAGAGTATTCTCAACCTATACTTTATTTATTGTTCACTACAGTTGAGTCCAGCTTCATTTTTTCTAAGATATCATTGATGTTTCTTAAAGCTTGACAATTTTTTCAATAGAAATTAACCCATTTAGTAAGGAGTTTAAAATAATTTATTTTCACCATCAAATAAAGTTGTGAATAAATCATATATTATAACTAAACCAAAAATATATATACAGTAGAGCGTCATTTATCTGAAAGTCGGTTAACTGAAACGTCGATTATCCGAAAGAATTCCAGTCGGCAAATTTAAATTTTCGCTAGTGCTGTGGTGCTGCAATCTTTGGCTATATCTTGGGCTACTCCAATATTTTTTTTGTTGATGTGTGTTTTTTAGCTGGCAGTGCTGGCACTTTTGTGTGGTGTTTTTCTCAGGACTGTGTGTCATGCTAAATCAAACGTTTTTGATACTAGATTAACTTCTAAAGTATAATTTTTTTTGTTTTTATATTTTTCAATATATTTATTTTGTTTGTAAAAAATAAAGAAATAATTTTTAATGATACAATAGTCATGATTATTATTTTAAAAAGTTTTTGTTAGGCTTAACATGGACGAAAATTCAACGCGAAGCGACACGCAACAGAGAAAAATTTCAACATGGGATAGGTTAATGTATTTTTTCGTACATAATCGGTTATCCGAAAAACCAGTTATCCGAACAACCTAACGTTATGAT